AGGATGTTTAGCTTTGCACCAAAAATATACATAGCTACTTGAACACTACCAAATATACAGTGCATAATCATCCATATCTAAGTGCAACCAGGAGAGAAGGAGCAGTGTAAACATAATGTATGCGTCCACTCCATACAATTCTTGCAATATTCAGTACCTTTGTAAGAAGCTCAGTGTAACTTTACCTAGACGACATAAACACAGTTTGATTTTTTTTAATCACGTGAAACTGATCCATTGCAAGTTGTTCATACCGAATCCATGATTTTAACCTTATAGCTACAAATGAAGGGTATTTACAATGACATGAACAAGATGTGTCCTTTTCTCGGAATCTTACTGACCCTCTGAAGACCAGAGCAGAATTGTTCCGAGACTGCTGGGGCTCCGCAAGGGAGCTAGGTGGTAAACCCTCTCTCTTTTGTATTCTTCAGACAAAAGCGTATTTGGTTTTGTCGTTTCGGCCTGCTGCATTGCCCTATCCATTATTACTGCAGATACTCAACCATAGCAAGAAGAGCCCTGATCAATATGTCTTTGTTGCGTAGCCCTGAATTAACTACATCTCACTTTCCACGGACAGCGACACAGATCACATGCAGCTGCTGCTTCCACTATGAGAAACACGAATTCTGGAAAGCATATTCATTATCTGGTTGTTAAAAGCAACAGAGCATGCAAGCCTCACCCTGCCTGGGTTACCTGGGAAATCAACATCTCTCTTTGATTAAGTGACTGCCAGCTAGTCACCTTCTCACTCTAACCTTGATGTGGCAGGACTGTGACAAGTGCATATAGTGTAACATCAAAAAACATTTCACTGATGCTCGCAAACAGATAGCTTAATTTGTTGTAATAGCCTGGTCCCTTGCAGTTTCCATTGCAAATCCTGGTTTGGAGGAAAGAATATATGAGCTCTTTAAATGGAATCTACCTGAAAGCTAACTGGCAAGAAGCCAGTGAGTATCCTGATAAGGTCCAAAACTCGCAGTGTTTACTCAACTTAAAGCACTTATTAAATTCCAACAGAATCCCCCTTTTGAGTTGTAGGACTAGGGTCAGAAAAAAAGTGACTTCATAAAAATTACCACTCCTTTACAAATCTTCCATATATGAGCATCACTTGTCTATCAAAAAATTCGAATGAATTTCTGTTTGCTGTACAGAATAAACTAAGCCCTATAGGGCAAAGTTTGATTTTCATTTCACTCAAACTGCTGCCGAAACAACAGGGCCCTCACTGTTGCCAACTCCTACAGTTTTTTCGTGGGTCTCATATTTGTTGCCTTGCTTTCAGTTGCAGCTGCTGGAACAAGGTCACCACATAGAAACCTCCCTTTTCACACAAGAAAGAAAAATGAGGCTTTTAGAGCTGTGGAGAGGAACTCAGAACTGTGAAACTTAAGTATGCCAACTTCAAAGGTAAATAAAATCTCTCACTTATTTTTAAATTGATTATGCTGTTGGGAATGGGCCTGCCTTGTGATAAATGCTTGGGGTTAGAACTTTCAACATTCGACATTGCTTTTCTGGTTCACATATCATCAGTAAATCATCTCATTTTCAACCGCAAAGCTTTTATAAGGAGGAATACGCAAGATTCAGATAGAGCCCAGCTTGAATTCGCAAACTAGCAGGACAGGAAAAAAAGCATGTTGAGCCCTGGGAACTGGTCTTCCCAGGCGTCACTAAGCAAAGAAAGACATCATTGTTTAAATATTTTGGTAGAATTACATGTCAGCACAGGGCTGGGCTTCCATAGTGTGAGATAAAGGTACATGACTGCAACTCAACTGTGCTCATTTTGAGATAACTGAAAATTTTGAAGCGACCGCTCCAAAAAATGTATTATTAATGCTGGTGTCCTTTTGGCACTACAGAAAAGATCTAAATATAAGCCTTTCATAGTAAAAGATTGAGACCAGAGAGCATGCACACTTTCCTTTCTCATAACTCTTACTTTTCCTATAAGCAAGCCTCGTTCGCTGTTGGCAGCAAGCTAGGATATCGTAATTAGGAAAAATGCTTTCTCCAGTGACCTAACAGTTTTCAGTAACTTTTGAATAGATTGGGAACTCTAGCTGCTGAAAAAGTAACTGCATGCTTACTGAAGCAAATCGTATAAATTTGACAGACGTGGTTTGAGTAGCGGGGTCCCGGTCCAAGATCCGGGTTCCCAGGGACAAACGCAGCATAAACAGCAAAGCTCATGCTCTGCCTCCCGGCGCGGCTGGCAGCACAGGCGTCTGGGAGAGCATCAGCCCCCTCCCCAACCTCTGGTTAAGAAGGGATGTGCCTTTTAACACGCGCTGCAACCACCACGGCGTGGAACTCTGCATAAAGCCGGAAAGCAAAGGTGGATTGTGGCAGCCCGTGGAAAACTGCATCTAGCACCAGATTAAAACAGGGGGGAGGGGAAACTGAAAAGGCAGTAAAAGGAGAGCGATGTTCTCTATTATCTCAAAAGCAAGGGGGAGTGCCATACTATCCTTCCTCACTTGGGACAGCAACATTTCCTCAAGGAGTGGGAATCCCTGCTGTCCTATTTCAACCTGCTGTAACTGCAGCCGAGACAGATCCAAGGCAAAGCAGGGGAAAGAAGAGAAGATATAAGGGCCGGAGAATACGAAAAAGACAAACTCGGAGAAAGCAGAGCGGCCAGTGAGCTGAGGGAAGAGGGAGGGCAGGAAGCAGAGGCGCGGCCCCAGCAGCC